CGACGAGCCTCTTCTCAGGGTTGCCTTGGCGCCTTTGTGCAAATTCCTTGTACGCGTTGAACTATGACCAAAAATGCTAAAGCCAAGCCAAAGCCAAAGTCGAAAGCCAAAAACCAAAGCCGGCTTATGGCGGCGGAGTTCCAGCTTTGTTCTCAACCTTCCTCGTTCTTTGGTGGGCGCTGCCAAGTGATGATATTATTAATATTATTAAAACTAATTTTATAAATGAAATCGTTACCCACTCCAGGAGAAGAAGGAGGAGGAGTCAGCTTGGTTTCCATTTGAGGATGCTTTAAAGTTACCAAATTGAGGGTAATGGAAATGGGAAGAAAATTAAGAGAATAAAATTATTACAATTCTGTTAAAATGTTAGATAAATTACCAAGCTAAAAATTTAAATCTCATAAATTATTATTTAAAAAGAACCTAAATATTTTTTTAAACTCCATCCAATTCCAAGCCGACTTTCTTCAGCAGTTACAACTGCAAAACTTTGATGTATTAATCATTCGCCCCGTTGTCCCGGCAATTACGACATCTGTGACAATATTAATGGGCGCAAAAGATTTCACAGTAAGTAGAGAAAAACTTTACAATTAATTAGGCAACAGATGATAAACGATGATTATAGTTGGAGAAACAGCCGGCTCCAAGGCTATAAATGGAAGATGTCTCCATCTGTCTGATCAAGGATTTAATGACGGCCATAAAAGCATTAAGAATGGTTGGGTCCAGACTTCAGGTCTGCTAATAATAGATGATTAGATGACGATGATGATCAAAGCGGCCTGCTAATCCCGTATACCCCCCATCCATTTAACTACTGGCCACAGTGGAAGCTGCGATAATCACCCTCTGGCATCGGTTTCATTTCGGAGTTTCAGTTCATTATGAGGCAGTTTACCTGGACGAGCTTCAATTGGCATAAATCAGAGGCCTTTTATGGCTAAAGTGTCGTCCAATTTCCGAAAGTTTTCCCAGTTAGTTGCTGCCTGTTTTCAACTGGGGAGCCGTAGTTGGTGCTGGGCGGAGGAGTTAGTTTTCCAACCCCTCTCGTTCCACGTACTGCAATTTTTCTTCATTAATGCGTAGTTACGCAATTTCCGTATACAAGAAGTTTTCTACTCGTTGCGTTAATTTTGGCCAATTCAGACGTAGCACCAGCTGAAATTGTACACCCTTATTTGGTCTTTACACTGGAAGAAAGTATTTGCAAATTTGGTAAGGTTTAAGTTGAGTTTTAATAAAGAATTTAAGCTAAGCTCTGTACTAGCGTAGTTAATAGAAAATTGAAACTCACCCCAAATACACCGGGATTTTACATTTTTTATCAGGAATTTAAAGTTATTTTGGCCTAATAGTTTCTTATTTTGTTTTAAGGGAATTCATAGATTAGACAGAGCTCTAAACTGTGAGTTTATGTTCAAGATTTTGTTTATGTCCTATTGGATATATACTGAATTCTTCTTGTGCATTCCTCCTCTTTTACTTTGCCGTACGCCATCCCCCTTCAAGTATCATCATTTTGGTTTTTGTGGTCGTGCCCGGCCTATTTCGAGTCTTTTGCCAAAATTAGTTCCGCCCCTCGATTTATATTGTCATTTCGTGCGTTTCGATTGTGTAAAGCAATTTCCCCCGCCCTCCTGGATGGATGACGGATGGAAGGGGGTCCTGGTTCTCGTTCTGGTACTGCGGGCAGTAGTTTCGGTTGAGTTCTAGTCCTGTCTGTGCGGCTGGCTTTTGGCTTAGCTATTCCATCAAGTTACGGCATTGCGGCGTGTTACCGTTCCCCCTTTTCCTCCTCGGCAATGGAAATGGCAATGGAAATGTTGACTGCGATACAATTGTAATTCCCCTCACTACTACTACCGCATGTGTGTGCCTATGTGGGTGGGTGTGGGTGTGGACCAAGGTGCATAAATTAGGCCAGTCATTTACCGTTAATAGCAGTTGGCAGCAGCAGCTGCTCCAGTTGCCCAATGTTGTGTACTTTTCAAATTACTTTGCAGTGCCAACTTTGACCTCAGCAGATTGGCAACATTATCAGGTTCAACATTTCGCCAAAATGTGTATAGAAATGTGTATGAAAATGGCTTATAAAGGGTTTTGACTTAAAACTTTTAAGAATTGGAATGAAATTTTAATTTGGTGATTTCAAAGAATGTATTTAGATAATTAAAGTTTTGTATATCTCTAATTGCATTTGGATTTAAACCTCTAAAAATATAAAAAAATTAATACGTGTTCTACACATATGTATGGATTTCTTAAAAAAATATTGTTTGGTTTTCTTTGGTCTGTTCCCTGTTAAATAGGTTATTTCTAGAAATCGGATTACACCTATTGATCGACTATGCATATGCCTTAATGAAATTGCCAAAACTTTCCTAATCTGTTCGAGGTATGAGCTGAACATGAAGCGTTATGCATTCAAGGCATCTGAATTCAAAGCAACAATTGGTCTAATCTTAATAATGGAATTTTGAAGCCCCTGGCCCCTGGCAGTTTCAGCTTCAATTTCCGTGCAATGGTCTTCCCCACTCCTGCCCCAAATCTCCACCCACTCGATCCCTCTTGTATGTATGTGCCCGGCTGTCTATCCGTTTCGATTTGGATGTGGGTGAGGCGACCATGAGGGCTGTCAGCCTCAATTTTGGGCCAGCCACTTGGCCATTGTTCGAATTTTGACATAAGCAAAAATCCCAGCTCAATTCCCCTTTCCTAAATTCATCACAACGCTAGTGTGCACTGCAAGAAATTATTTAATTGTGAAAAACCTTAGTTTAAGTGAAAAGGTCGACAACTTAAACAAAAACAATTAAGTCATTATAGTTTCAAGTCAATAAAACCTTATTTCTTAGCACTGTACAACAGTTTTACAGTATTCTTTTGTCTTTCTTTTAAGTAATATTTTTCAAAGATACTTAGTTTAATTCTATTAAATTGTTCAGGATTTTTTCTAGCAGTGCTTGCCGAACATAATGCTCAGATTATGAGCTGCGCTTTGACTACGTCAATGGCAGTCCAGTCACATTCAGATTCAGGAGCATTCAATTCACTCCACTCGTACTCGGCTCGATTTGGACAGAATTAAGTGAGCTGCTTGAAGGGTTGCAGGCCTGCGTCTCTCTAATTAAAATTGATTACCACAATTTGGGTATTGATTGGCCTGAAACACGCACAATGACCAAGCCAAGTTTTCCATAATTCTCGCCCATTCAACTGTTAACAGTTTTGACCCGCGATGTCTTTGTTTTGTATCTGACACCTTTTCCCCGGTGCTGCCATCATCCTCCAACCATTAATTAGCCGCACGCAATCGGTGGGAGCAGGCTTATTGATTACCTTACCGCACGGGGCTGGAGGGGGGCTTGAACTTTACCGGGTTCGATGTCACACGTGTGTGTACGTCTTATGACTTATTTACGCCGCTGATTGTTTCTGACATCTGTTGTAATTGACACTTTTCGCAAGCTCCACTAATGGACGAAGACGCGCAACAAGACCGCAAAAGCCACTGTCAGACCGCAATCTCTTTCTCTTAGCATCAATCCATCAGAATAGACCACCCTATCGAGGACATCCCTAATGGCTGTGGAGTAAATGGCAGCAGTTTCAAGTCGGAGACGTATGGGTGCACAATGTTTGCAAAATATCCGATTACATTTGCATTTGATTATGGTCAGCAGAGGGAAGGCAAAGGATACAAAAACCATATGATATTTATCAATTTGACATATTTAACTAATAAATAAAATGTGGTATAATATTTATGCTAATCAATATGGCATATCACTGATGTTGATATGCTTTCAGCTTTTATGCAATGAAATAAGGAATTTATCATGGCTATACTAAGGTTTATCCTTTCAGTTTATAATTGTAGCTTGGTATTACTTCCAATTTCTAACTATTTCACATTAATATACGCTGTAAATATCCTAAAATATATGCTATGCTAGTTTAGGCAGTTTATCCTCACTCATTTTCACACTCCCTTGCAATGTTTATCTTTCCCAATCTCTCCGAAAAGAGTTCATTAGGAAGTACGAATTCTGTGCATCCCTGCTTGCTGGCAGCAGTGCCTTAATCTAGTCGGGAATATAAATTTAAAATTACATTACGTTCATGTAACAGGGATGGGTATGTGCTTTGGAGTTGGGATAGCTTGGGCGATGCCATGACAGCACGACAAGCCGGCATCCTCCGCTGGAAATCAACGCCAAATGTGAGTTGCTTTTACAAGCGCCGCGGGTGCCCTGACAAGGAGTGAGACCCATTCCACCATAGATGGGAATCCAAAGCCCGCAACCCATACTCGGTGTGCCTGCTCGGGCGCCAAGTGCATTGGAATGTGTGGCAGCTGCAATTGTGCGGCAATAAATTATTGTGCAACACGCAGACATCGCAGACGGGGGTGAACCCAACTCAACTCGACTCAACCGAACCAAACCAAACTGAACTGAACCGGGCTGAGTGAGTGAGTGCAGGAGTGAGTGGTCGGGCGTTGCTGGCATGGTAATGAATGCTACGAAAATTTTTTAACAATTTTTTAACTTAAAAATTACGACAGCGCTGACAATTTGCCATAAAAAGCGACGGCAAACTGAGGACTGCAGAATGGCGGAGGCTGTCTGAATTTTGTGCTGACTCCGACTATGACTCTGCGGGAGTGAGGGTAGCAGTTGTCTTCTCCTCGTCTCATTTCAGAATAAAGGCGACTCTTGAAATGGGAATTCTGATTGGAGATGGCTGCGTGAGAGAAGGGATTTCTTTGGAATAAAGGATTAAAGCCTATGAATTCTCTTTGAAATTGCTAAAATATCATGTAAAATAACCAATATTGTTGCAAACAGTGCACTAGAAATTCCCAAGTCTGAATTCTGTGTGCAAACGTTGAAGAGTGTTGTTAGAAAAGTTGGTTTTTGGGGAAAGCAAAACAGACTGGGAAAACAACCTGCACTTGTCTTTTGACAATAAACAATCTGTGTAGGATGTAGTTAAGTCTGGATTTATATATATTGCATAAAGCTACAAAGCTACTCCTTTATAGTTCATTCATTTTCCAGATATTTAAGTATCTATTCCCCTTTTCAAAATATTATCCTCGATCACTATTAGATTTTTCCCATCTCTAGATAGCAACTGCTGATGGCTGACTGCTCCGTTGGCATTTTTGCTTTTGTTACACCCATTTGATGTACCTTGAACACACACGCTGCTGGATGTGTGTGTACTTGCAATATTTTACTCTGCCAAATGGGGGAAGGTTAAGGCTCATTTGTCAAACGTCACGGCTTGATGATGCAATTGTTGTTTGTGCCACGCATGTTGTCATTTAGTTTGCATGCAGATTTATGCCCTAGTCGGGTTATTTAAATATTCCTTTATTTTATATCCAATGCTCTTTCGTGTAATGTTGTTGATCATCCCATTTATGGCTTATTTATGCAAGCTTTAAAAACAAAAACTCTGTCAACTGTCAGTTGGCATTTTGATTGACAAAAGCTTTTTACCTGTTTCGGGCCACCGTATTTTCCTCTTAAGTAAACATATCGTATTACAGCCCCAGCCGCAGCTGCTTTCATAGGGGTTAGTTGCCAAAGAATAACACTTAAAGATGTGGGTGGAAGGTCTTGAAATCCACCCTCGATATCCAATGACAATTTATGCGTTTTTAAAGAGTCCTTTTTCTATTTTCCTCCCCTTCTCCCCGGGACTCATGCGATTCGTGTTTATCTTGTGCTTTTTTGCTGTTAACGCTCGCCTGCATTTCGTCGGTGGCCCTAAGAAAATATTATTCTTTAATTTCTGCGCTACTGCATTTTCCTACCTTTGCTATTTTTGTGTCGCTTTTTATGCAGCCGACTAGCTGGCAGCCAAAAGGCATAAATTCACAATGGTAGAAGAGGGCGAGATGGAGACAGATTTACCTTTGGAAAGTTCTCCCTCATCTTTCTGCTGAAAACTTCGCAATTGGTTTCTACTCCCTTGCATCTCGTTTGCCTTCCATCCAATTTTTGTGGATCGCATCGCTTACAGAAATCGCTGCACAAGTTTGGGGCGCCACACAACTAACTTTGATGCATAAACTTTTCCTTTGCCAGCCGTGGAATGAATGAAATATTTCCCTCTGTTACTTCTTCGGCTTTTCTGGCATCTCAAGCTGTTTAATTGTCAGGCAAATTTCGCTTGGTTCATTGAATTCAAAGTAAACTTTGTACGTCTTTGCGGTGGCTTGCTGGAGCGAAGGAGAATAAGTTGTACGAAAAGGATATTGGGATATTGGGGGAGATGCACTATTGGTTTTTATGGTGGATACTGATAGGATAGGAGAGAGACATAAATATAACAGACAGATGGATGCAAGTCTTATTCCATAAACTGTATAATTTTGATCTGAACTGAAATGTGACAACGTTTTCCATAGAATTTGTAGTATATAGATAGCCAAACTTGGAAAATTGAACTTTGAAGTTGTTCGCCTTAGTCAAATTGATAATACGGAACGAATTTTTTGTATACCTTAGGGTGTAACAATTTAATACTCTTCTAAATTATAATTTTTAATGTTCAAAAGAGCAGTTTTTTTGCAAACTTTTTTGGGGGTATAGGTATCTAATATTATACGAATTTTAAGGATATGTAGAGCTGTTGATAACTTATTTCTTCTCCCATTTTCTCATGTTCTAATTTATCCTTCATTACCGCATCAACACTCCTCTTAAAATGTCGTTGAAAATGCATTTCAAAACTACTTTTCACATTGTCAGGTCTAAGACCCGCTAAGCTCAATGCGGAAAAGGAAAAACTGCTGGGCGAGTACGTGTAAATATTTTGCCAAGTCTGTTCGGATGGAGCATTAATCATATTAAACAGGAGCAGGCGTCAGACGACGGCTGGATTTTCAGCTGCCTTCTTTTGTTCCTTTTTATGGCTGGATGTGTACTCGTCATACAGTGCGTATGATTATTACCACTATTATTAATATTATCATGCGCTCGGTGGTCGTGGGCTTGACTCGGCGCCGGGAGCTTGTTTTTCCGGGACACGAGCAAAATCGCGCGGCAAAGGAGACATCGTCATTGCAATTATTTACAAAATCAGAGCACGTCCTGGCTCTGCTTTTATGCGATTACGTGTATGTGTGCGTGCTGTGTGTCTGTGTCTGTGCACTAAAATGCCTTGAGCCGAATCGCTTATTACGCCACCGAAAGGGACAGCAACCCAAGAAGAAAGAGACACACAGATCTTGACAGGCTCCAGTTATGCCTTTCTTATTTATTTAATCTAAGGTAGGAGATTTTTATATATTTTTTCTACTTTGTTTTTCGCGTAAAAACGTATTTATATTTCCCGATAGCTTGCAGTTTTTATCGTTTAAGATTGCCATTTGTTAGATAAGTTAGTTGGAACTTAAATAATTTTCCTAAAATAGAATTTTTGCAAAATTTTTTTATAAGGTTAAGACATCCTGTCTCCAGACTAACAAACAATGATCAAGGAAGTACTTTATTGCCAACAATTTAAATAAAACGTATTGCCGCCCAAAAAGAAAACTTTCAATTATAAAATGTATGAGTCGAGTCCCGGAAACTTTTCGGAAACAATTACGTCAAGTGTTGGGAATTTCCACCCAACTCCTTTCTGGCGAGTGTTCGTAATAAGCCACTTTCCCTAATGACAAGACATTTTCAGATCCTTAGCCGGCAACTTTTTAATTTCCCAGTTTGCCCATCCGGCCTCCATTAGCATATAGACGCCCGGAGAGAGTGCAGTCATAAAGAAAAGTTTCGGCGCCCCATCCAGGCTTCCAGCGACCTTTATTGTTAATCCACGCATGCTCTCCTTGTGCAATATCCATTTGGCCCCAAACTCTTTTGCGACAGGGTCTCCCCCTTCTCCCAATGTGGGGTGTATGGGGGTCCTGTCTATAAGTCTGTCCTCCATCTGGTTGCGTAACTTTTGCGGCAGTGGTTTTAATTTAAATTGACAACATCAAGCAGTTAAGTACTTGCAGCGACATTTTAATAGCTTGTAAGCCCCACGAGTACCGAAAACTTCCCCTTAGCCGAACGAAAGCTGAGCAAACCAAACAAACACCTTCTCCCCAGCAGCGAGCACCAGCACCCCCTTTGTCCGGATGCCACGTCAAGCCAAAGAAAATAAATACAACGGACGCTTATTTACATATTCCCAAACGTAAATACGCGCCATTTTTATTTGCTCCACGTTCTTTTATATTTTTTGTTGTTCTTTTTTTTTTTGTATTTTTTTTTTAAATACATATTCGGGCACTCAGCGAGTCTTTGCTGGGTTTTATGGTACCCTGGAAGTGCATAGGGTTAAATGTGGTGTAGCGGAGGGAAAATAATATAACGTTGACATTATGTACATTTATGGTTAAACTATTTAAAAATATTTGTAAAATATTTCTTTATTTATACATATAATATTAATAGTAAATAAAATTTGCAGCTTTTATTTGTTATATGAGCGTTTTGCCAGTGTATGCGGAGTACTCTAAAAATTCCCAAGTCTTAATTCCGGAAATTTCTCGCTGGTATACAAGCGAGGAAAGGTTGAATTCTGATCTTTACTGTTGCACTAGGCTTAGTGATTTAGCATATAGTTGAGCCTTTATAATAACATAATAAAAGTAATATATTTAAAATAATATTTAAAAAACAACCAATAGTGTAGGAACATAGTAGAAACACCACTTAGCGCAAGTGTAATCAATCTATTATGAATAAGTAGACACATACATATGTATATCGATAAAATCGATAGAAGGATATTGGGGATCTGCGATCTCTACTTCTTGTCGGCGTTGTTGTGCAATAAGTTCAGAAAGTTCTGGTGTGTAAAAATAAAATAAAGAACTACAATATAAAAGCCCTATAATAGGAAAACAAATAAGTGAAAATAATTTCCCATATTATAGGATACTCCCCCGTCGACTACAATGACCTATCCCTCTGGCTTTTCATTTGATTTCATTCCTTTTTTTCTGGTCGTTTTTAAGAAAGAATTTGCATAAAGTGAAAACAAGCATTTTAATTTCACTCGACGTAGCAAAAATGAAATGTGCGACAGCATATACGAAGAGGTAGTAAACGCTACCATTTACCGCTGGCAACCGCCACTCCTGCTGCCCCATCGGCTCCCTGGAAATCCCCAGAGCGTTAAAAAGTTTTGCAGGAGAAGCGACAGCGTGAGCGGACCCACTGAAAAAACGCACTGGAAGGTAAGCAAAAGGGGCGACAGTCGTAATTGTCGGGGACCAGCAGCAGCATGGACCATGGAGTGGGTGAAAAAGCGCAATGCCAGCAGACAAAAACAAACCAATTTAAATTAGACAACCCCCGCTGGGTAAATCTTCCACCGTTTCTTTTGGGGGTTTGGGGGTATAAAGTGTTGAAAACTTTTGGCATCAACTTTTGACATTTGCAGTGCACTAAATGGAAATTCTGGCCAGGATTAGGCAAAGTGTCCGAAGCCCAGAAGAAGAAATGATAAATGTTCGTTTTGGTCAGTTCGCTTTTTGTATCCCTGCATACACTTAAATAAAATGTCAAAGATTCAATGGATTTAATAGAAGATGTAGTATTTTGTTAAATAAAATTGACTAAACTTTAATTTGATGTGATAATATTTGGCAATCCTTAAGAATTTCTGAAATTTTAAATACTACGTAATTTAAAATATTTAATTATTATTGATAAAATGATGGATAAAAATGCATTAAATATTTTTTTGTATTTTATTTTTATTTTTTTTAACAAAAAGATGTGTTTTTTTTTAAATATTTTTTTAAGTGCTTGAGGTAACACATAATGAAAACAATTTCTGGACTGTGCTTGGTCTGGCTCATCCTCCTGCCATTCTCTCTCTAGATTTGAGGTACTTGGGGCCCGGGACCCCATTTGAAATGGGACACATGCCACGCTGGCAGTTTAATATAATTTAAACCTAAACACATACCACGACAGAGGCACACATTTATACTATATCAAGAGGTATTTGTCTCGTTTCCCCACTGCAAGTGAGTTGGGGTTTTGTCAAGTATCCGCCGCGTCTGCCATTTGACGCTCGGTCCCATAAATTACCAGACACTTGGCAGGGAGCGTATATAGCGAAGGCATCTTCACATTTCTGGTTAGTCATTTGCCTGCCCCACACACACACACACACACACACACACAGACACACTCGCACCATTATCTAGACACAAAAACAAAACTATTAAGTGGGCATAAAACTGGCTACGGTCTATGGGTAATTTTCCCCCAAACACTGAAGGACCTCTTCTGTTCCGCCAGGAGGCGGGGTCAGCTGATGTTTGTTGCCACAGTGGAACCACCCTCGGACTAATGGAATATGCAAAAACATTCTGGTAGATATAAACCAGGCAAAGAGGCTTAATAAATCCGAAAGATCCTACATTTAAGGGAATGCTTGTGTTCGTTTCATGGCCATGGGCGGATCGTAAAAACTAAGAATTTAAGAGAGCTTAACCTTGAGGTATTGTGTTGGGCTTGCACTTTATAGCTATATTTATTTGATGCCAAATGGAAAATAAATAAAATAACAAGGATTCTCTTAAGAAAATTTGCATTAGAAAGTTTTTAGAGTTTGATATCTTATTTAACAAAAAAATAAAAGAGTATGGTTCTTAGTTGGGAGATTAGTTAACCAGCCGTATCTTAATTACCCCTCAAAATCAGAGAGAAAAGAAAGAACTATTAATCAAGTAACTAATTTTTTCCGATTTAATATTCAGCTCAAGCCGCAACTGCATATGTAAATTATCCTTTATTGAGCATTTATTTGCAACTAATTTGGCATTGATTTCAATAAATTAGTATTTAATTGGTTGCACTCGCGTTTTTTGTGGCACAATTGATTGCGCTAATTGACAAAAACCGAACGAGAACAAATGAGAGAACGTGGCCAACAGGTACGTACGGATATTGCATGTGCAATGAGCCAAGATTTTAATTGGATGGACTGGGGAATTTCCTCAGTCAGATTTTAGCTCCAGCTCCTGCCATCCTCCCCATCAAATCGAGAAAAAACTTTGCCACCTTTTGGGCGAATTGTGACCCGCCCTCTCCAGACATTCTCAAGTGCAAAGTTTGTTCCTTAGGCTGGCTGGCGGGGAAAAATATCCCCAGGGACCGTCGGCATCGCCCGAGTGGCGTCTTCCTGTCTCTGCCGGCTTCTTCGGGGGTTGTGCATTTAGCTGCTCGAATACCGAGGGGGTAGCTCAGATGTCAAGGAGACAGAATGCACGGGGGTTGGCCAGGTCTAAAAAGTCAATCACAATTCCCAGTGCAATCACAGCACGCGTATTAATATTTAAAGAGGTCATCGGAATTGGTTTCTCTGTCTTTGAGCCACTTATTGCCGTGTGCGGAGTTTGAGATAAGACGTAGCAATCTTGTGGCCTGCAATATTTTCCACTTATTTTC